ATATTCTTTGGTTCTCTTTGGTTTATTTATTTCAGCTCTTTTCTTCTCGTGTCTGTTTTTTTGGGGTTTTTATAACTTGCTGTAAAGTCACAAGGCGTTTAATGAACGTGGAATAAAAGAGACGTGTGAAAGACTCAGTTCTTCTTTCATTTCAGACTATAAAATACTTCTTTTAAAGAAATCTAACGACATTAAGCATGAGAAGATTTACATCACTACGTCATAAAAAAGTCACATTTCTAATCGTGGTGTGAAACCTGGACGAGTCAGACCGAGCGTTCTGTAGATTATTAAATAATAATAAAGTTCATTCTGTAATAAACTGCGGTCATAAAACATTTAAAGTTTTTCAGCAGAGGTGGAACTAAAAATCAGAAACAGAGAAAAAACTGATTCAGGTTGAGGTGAACACTTCAGGCGTCCTGCACGTGTGTGGGGAAAAAGAGCGCCCAAAGCGTACTCAACATTTCACAGCAGCCCGTCATCTTATGTTTCAACTTTTTTTCAATGTGTGGAGGCCACACCCTGTTTGTTGTCCCCCTCATCACGAGACACACCTCTGAGCATGACTCACACTCACACAGCTCATTGTGTGTGTGTGTGTGTGTGTGAGTGTGTGTGTGTGTGTGCCACACCCTGACCCTCCAGTCTGGGTGTGTGCTTCGTGTTAATCCGGTGTCCTCTGTCTGTTTTTGTCTTCAGTGTGTTAAATGTTTCTCTCTTTTTAAACTTGGACTCTTTTTATATAAATTGGTGTTTTGTTTTTTTGTTTTCCTTTTTTATGAAAACTTGTTTTTCTTTGACTTTTGTATTCCTGCGGCTTATTCTGGAAACTTGCTGCCAGTGCAAACACGTCAGTGAAAGATGGAGCGCTCCCTCTGGTGGCGAACTGAGGTTATTACATCAGCAGAACAAGAAGCCCTTACTCATTAATCATCGATCTTTTATCGACTGTCTGAAGAGCTTGAAGTTTTATTTTTAAGAGTTTTAAAAGAAACAGAAAAGAAAAATAAAGCATAAAAAAACAAAGACAGAACAATCGGAATATAAGAATGAAAACACAAACTTTAAATATTAGAAAGAAACAAAAAGGGACAAACAGATTAAGCTATTGCATATCTAACCGTCTGAAGAGCACCTGAATGCAGCATATCTAACCGTCTGAGAAGCACCTGAATGCAGCATATCTAACCGTCTGAAGAGCACCTGAATGCAGCATATCTAACCGTCTGAAGAGCACCTGAATGCAGCATATCTGACTGTCTGAAGAGCACCTGAACACAGCATATCTGACTGTCTAAAGAGCACCTGAACGCACCATATCTAACCGTCTAAAGAGCACCTGAACGCAGCATATCTAACCGTCTGAGAAGCACCTGAGTGCAGCATATCTGACTGTCTAAAGAGCACCTGAACGCACCATATCTAACCGTCTGAAGAGCACCTGAATGCAGCATATCTGACTGTCTGAAGAGCAAGAGAACACAGCATAACTGACTGTCTGAAGAGCACCTGAACGCAGCATATCTGACTGTCTAAAGAGCACCTGAACACACCATATCTAACCGTCTAAAGAGCACCTGAACGCAGCATATCTAACCGTCTGAGAAGCACCTGAATGCAGCATATCTGACTGTCTAAAGAGCACCTGAACGCACCATATCTAACCGTCTGAAGAGCACCTGAATGCAGCATATCTAACCGTCTGAGAAGCACCTGAATGCAGCATATCTGACTGTCTGAAGAGCAAGAGAACACACCATATCTAACCGTCTAAAGAGCACCTGAATGCAGGATATCTAACTGTTAGAGGAGCACCTGAATGCAGCATATCTAACTGGGTTTGTGTCTTTTTGTTGACATATATTTGTGTGTCTCTGTTTGGTACAGAAGCCGGCGCCGGACCGATCGCCGGGATCGCCAGCGCTGTGGGCGTGGCTCTGTTGGGAGCAGCATCCAGTTACTTTGCTTATCAGAAGAAGAAGCTCTGCTTTAAAATACAGGGAGGTACGAGTACGTTTATTTATCTGACTTTACAGTAAAGAGGAAGTTTGATGACATTTTATTAAGCTGATTAAATCTCTCTTTTTCTTTTTCACTCAGGTCAAGATCCAGAGGGCGGGAAAGTCCATCATGGTGGTCAGTCTGACAATCAAGGTGATTTAGTTTCTCATGTGAATAAATGATCAAAGTCTTCAGGTACTTACAGTAAGAAGTTTCAGCTTCTCTCCGGACGCAGGTTGAGATCTGTTGAAACAATAACATGGAAACGATCAGTGACACGCTCAGAGACAGAAAGAAAGCAGAAAATATGACGCCATTATACAGTGAGCTTAATCTACAATGTGACATCAAGTCAAAGTTTGTAATTCGATGTCTTAATTGAGCAGAAAGTCGGCAGCTTTATGCGCCTGATTTATCACTGAGTGTTTATTCCATTTGTTGGATCAGAAACCTCGGCTGGTTTTGATCCATTCATCTGTGAAGACACTGGAATCTTCTTCCTCTGATAAGATAGTGAACAAACCAAACTCAGAGTTAGAGTAAAGCCTGCCCTCTAGTGGTGGAACGCATGTACTGAGTTAAAGTCGAGTCTGTTTTCTTAACAATCTGTTTTTTTTTCTTCCATTTCAGTTTTCAGTAACCTCCTCAGGACGTCTTAGAGGTCGACGATGACGAGTCTGTGACCACCTCTTTCTCCTCGTCCTCCTCCCCCTACTCCGTCAGGTGTCGCCTCTGCTCTGAAAACAAGACTTTCTATTGGTTCATCCTGTTTCCTGTTTGTCTGAACTCAACAAACACCCTGACGGCCGTTAACTGAAAGCTTTGTCTCGTGTGTTTCTTTCATTTTTTTAAGGTCATGAATGTTCCTCCTCTCCTCCTCGCGTCTTTAAACTTTTACTCTCTGGTGTCACAGCTGCTACATCGCCGGGGTTTACAGCGGTACACAGGGTGGATTCGATAGTTTTATAACCGCCGTTTGAAATGTTTTAGACCCCGCCTCATTGGCATCTATGAAGGATTGAACAAAGCTTACACTTTAGTCCTTTATTTCTTCTTCTCTGGAACGTAGAGTTTGTTTGCGCGACGTCTGCCTCCATCGGATCTTTTCTTTTATGTTTGTATTTCTTTAAGAGAGCGGACAGCTTCATGCACAAATCCCCTTAAAAGAGAACTACGGTGGCCCTGAGGGTCAACTGCAGAGTCATGTCAGTGAATGCAAGAAAAAAAAAAACATTTCACGAAAAGTAGAACTATTTTAATTTCATGATTTTATTTTTTAGCATTTTGTGAAATGTTTTTATTGTTTGTGCGTTTGACCTTCAGGGGTCACCGTAGATGTCCTGTATTTTCATTGACGTTACTATGACGACAGAGATGCACATTTAACGCCACGTTGTTATATTTGCGGCATCTCACATAGAAAAGTTTTAAACGTTATCGGCGCCGCTTTAATCACTGAATGTGTCGGAGCGAGATTTAACGTTTATGCACTGCAGAATAATTTCTGTCCGAAGTTTGACTCCGTACAGATTTAATTTTGTTAAAACGTAAACCTCTAAATGTTAACGTGTGATCTGAAAGATGAGCGTTAGCCTCCGTTAGCTCGTTGTTTTTCTGCTCAAACGTGGAGGAGACCAAAACCGAACAATAAGACAAAGTATTACCTTATTGAATTCAATCAGAGAAACATAAATATGATGATAAAGGGGTTCGAGTTAGACTAGTGTCTGCAGGAAGTCCCCATCGCTGCCCCCTAGTGGTCAAGTTACGGCAAACGCAGCTAAAACAAGCAAAAATCCTCCTAAATCTTTCATCTTTGTTAGAAAACGTCGTCATCTTTTTAGACCCCCGTTTGTGTGTGTGTCATCAGGTTATCAGAATCGTGATGTCATGATGCCCCCCCCCCCCCCCCCCCCTCCCCTCCCCTCCTTTCTTTGTGTGAGCTGTAAATATTTAGTTTAGCGTGCTTCAAAACCTTTTACGACGACATGTATCTGAAGTTTGTTTTTTGTTCCGGTTTATTTCATGTGACGATTCGGTGAATGTTTCTCCTGTGAGTGGATTTAAAGTGTGTGAACATGTTTCCAATAAAGACGTGGTGTACAGCCGCTGTTTCCTCGTGTTTTTGTGTAACTTATCTTTACGCTTTGCTCTCTTATTTCTTTCTCTCTACGTCTTTTTATTTGTCTCTACCATAAACTGTAAATATTAACGGATGAAGCCTGAGTGGGGTCACCCGTCTGTTCCTGCAGGGGCTGCTGGAGTCCCTTCGATGGCGGTCTCCATGCTGGAAATTTTTGAATGGGTGTGTATGTGACTTCCTGTGCTTCTGCAGCCAGCCTCTAGTGGACAGTCAAGGAACTGCAGAATGTTACACTTCAGCATCGGCTTCATTTTTCAACACTGAAAGGTTGCCGCTTGGTATCTTCCTCTTTTTTGTTTCTCCTCTGTAGTGATGTTTGCTTTCTTGTTTATCTGTTTATCTTCTTGTTGATTTTCTTACAGCAGCAGTGACACATTCAACTTTTTCTTCTGAATCTGACACATTTAAACCATTTTAAACTCCAAACATGAGACTCTGTGAAGTAAGACCTGCGTTTAAGGTTCACATATGAGCATGCAGAGTTATATTAAGAGTAAATTAGTGTTATCTAAACCAGCTGCATGCAGAAAGTGAAAGTGAACACACCGAGTGCAGACAGACAGAGGGAGGATTTGTGATGTTGCACAACTTAGATCTCACCTCCCTTCAGTTGAATGACCAGAGGAACAAACAGACAACAGACGCAGCGGGCCTCTGCTCCTCTCTTTGATCTGCAGATAAAAACAGAAGGGGGATCTGACTTCCTGCTGCAGCGTCAGACACTTTCTCATCCTGTCACTATTTAAGGATCCACAGTGAAGATGTGAGCGTCTCCTGGCGCCCTCTGCACACACCTTCAGCTCAGTCCTGCAGGAACATTCCTGGAGCTGCAGACGATTTCTAGACAACAACAATGTCAGGTAGGAGACTTCATTCAGTATTTAGGATCTTCTAGATTTGATAATGCATCACTAAGAGGCTGTAGGTTGACCTTTTCTCTGCAGATTTGATAAATAAATAAAAAGTGTAAACAGAGTTAAGCGCAGAGTCTGAGGAGCAGGATTTTTGTCTCTCTGTCCGAGCTGTTGAATTATACAGAGCTCGCTGTAGTGACCCAGTTTGACTTTAACTCAGGAGAGACAGCACCTCCAAAACAAAACGCTCCACACACCCGTCTCTACTGCGCGTGAGGACACTTCTTTAATCAGGGAAACAATCCTCCATGAGGGGTCGAGTCATGCAGCTGCAGAACAGGTTTAAAGTCAAGGTTTAAGAGAGAGAGAGAGAGAGTGGGGAATGACGTAGGACAGGAGCCACAGGTCGGACCCAAACCCGGGCTGCCCGCCTGGAGGACTACAGCTAGTTAATCACGATTAATCCCATTTTTAATCGCATGTTTGAAATGTCATTATTTAGGCATTTCTTTTGAATGTTTGTCCTGTCTTAGGCTGAGAGTACTTTACTTGCTGTGGGCTTTTATTTTGAAATAAAGGAGCTTCTGGTAGTTGGTGCAAAACTCAGCTGCCAGGATTTGAACCAGAACCAGAACCAGGGAGTATGATGACATCACTCCTGTTGTAGCATCTGTACACCGCAGCTCCCTGTGTGTTTTAGAATGGATTTGATGCGATGCATTTTGATTGGACTATATTTGATCCAATGAGATACTTGAAAAAGCTTCAAAACAAAGAATAATCTAGCTATAGTTTTTTAACTTATAGGTGAATCTGATTGTAATGAGACACTGGATTCAGTTTGATCCTGTCCTGTTCTGGTCCACAAGGAGGCGAGGCCTTTATCACCCTAGCCACCACAGAGTCGTACTGTAAGGGGGCGGCGGTGGTGGCCCGGAGTCTGCGGCGTCATGGGACGACTCGCAGCATCATCCTCATGGTGACTCCAAACGTCTCGGAGCAGTCCAGGTGAGTCGGACGTCCATCTTTATTTTTATGCGATGGAGTCTCTGCACCTTTGACCCTTCTCATCCGTCTCCAGGCTCGCCCTCCGGGACGTCTTTAACGAGGTGGTTCTGGTGGACCTGCTGGACAGTCAGGACCAGGGTCACCTGGCTCTGCTGGGGCGGCCCGACCTGGGCATCACCTTCACCAAGATCCACTGCTGGACTCTGACCCAGTTTAGCAAATGTGTCTTCCTGGATGCCGACACACTCGTGAGTCCAACAGCAACTTCCTGTGTGACCACACTATGGCGTCCAGAGTCCGCAGCTTTACCTTAAAGACTGCCCGCCCTCTGAAGAACGACCTCACACAAACAAACTCAGCGTTTCAAAACATGACATAACTCCAACATGGATCTGTACATTGGTATCTATAGATATCTGTCAGTCAACATTGACTTTAAACCTTCAGCCTTCACGCTCTGAACTGTTGGCCAACGTCTCCGTTCAGGTCAGAAAAGTCAAACGTCCTCCTATAGAAATCAATGCTTAACGTGAGCTCCTGAGGCCATGTTCTGAACATGTTGTTACCGTGAGGCTCGTCTCCATTTGTTCAGTGTAAACACGCTCTCATGTGAGCAGGGCCATGCGTGTTTGAAGAGGGACGAGGTTCCCTCTGGGAGCTTGGATAGAGGTCGATGCACGTTTTCTTCACATGTTTAGAGTAAAGATTTTAATTAGTCTAATTGGTTAGTGAAGATGATGAGTAGTTCAAGTGATGTCATTACCTGTTTGACTCCACTTCCTGTCAGGTTCTGAGTAACGTGGACGACCTCTTCGAGAGAGAGGAGCTGTCGGCGGCTCCCGATCCCGGCTGGCCCGACTGCTTCAACTCGGGCGTCTTTGTGTTCAGACCGTCTCTGCAAACGCACGCCGCCCTGCTGGAGCACGCCATGCAGCACGGCAGCTTCGACGGTAAAAACACACACGAGTCCAGTTTCTACAACAACTCACTTAGCAGACGCTTTCATCCAAAGCGACGTACATCAGAGAGTAAGAACAACACAAGCAAGGATCTAGAAAAAAGGGAACAATGTGAGTAAGAGCAAACGATCAGCTTTGAGTCTGATTGGACACACAGGTGCTGACAGGAAGTGACCAGAGGCAAAGCACAACATTGAGGGCAGTTCTTGAGAGCTCTAATCAGTATAGAAACCATCTTATAAGTCGTCGTTATCAAACAAAAACCATCGTCATTACCATCATCATCATCAATAATATGGAGACCATCATCATTAAGTTAGTAGGTATTCATGAAAGAGCTGGGTCTTTAGCTTTTTCTTAAAGGTGCAGAGGGACACTGCAGATCGAATGACCACCACTAGGGGGGGCGACAGAGAAGAAGAGTCTAGTCAGCGTCTTGTGAAGGTTGGATCAGACGGGTTAGGGAGTTAGAGCGTAGTATTTCCTTATTGCTATTCATTCAGAACAGCTTTTTCTTGAACAGATATAACCGGTAACTTAGTCAGAGGGTAAAACCTACACATTGTCTAAAATTGCTTACTTGAACAATTATACATTTTTTATTTTTTCCTAACAAATTGAGAAAAAACTGTCCGTATATGTCTTAATGACAGTAAAAGTAAAAATGCTTATGTTTAAGTTTGTCTTACCTTTGTGCAAAATAGATCATTCACTGTCAGAATCTGATTTGATTCCTTTTCTGATGATAGTTTCTGTCATCAGAGAAAGAAACAAACACGAGACGTATTTAAACCTGATGTTTCCTCTTCTTTGCGCTCCTCTCAGGAGGAGACCAGGGCCTGTTGAACTCTTTCTTCAGCAGCTGGAGGAACGAGGACATCAGTAAACATCTGCCGTTCATCTACAACCTCAGCGCCAGCTCCGTCTACAGCTACCGGCCCGCTTTCCAACAGTGAGTGTGTGTGTGTGTGTGTGTGTGTGTGTGTGTGTGTGTGTGTGTGTGTGTGTGTGTGTGTTAAAACCCTTAACACACAGTTTGTATTTATGACTTATATTTAATCACGTTTGTTGTATTTGTAGAGAGCAATGTAACAGCTGTTTGTGGTTAAAAGAAAATCCTCTTCCTACTAGAATTCTACAATTCATGTATCAGACACTTTTATCCAAAGTGAAGAGAATCAGAGATTTAGAGCAACACGAGCGAGGAGAGAGAGAGAGGAGGAGACAACGACAGGAAGCAAAAACAAACAGCTTTAAATCTGATCGGACACACAGGTGTTGACAGGAAGTGACCACAGGTGTTGACAGGAAGTGACCAGAGGCAGAGCACAACATGGACAGCTGTTCTTGAGATTTCTAATCCACATCAAAACCATCCTAAACATCATCGTCATCGTTTTCCTCGACCCTCTACACTGTTCATGTTTTGGCACAAGCTTTCTCATGTTCTGATGTTGTTTTTGTTGTTTTGTTGTTTTTTGCAGGTTTGGCCACAACGCCAAAGTCGTCCATTTCATCGGAGCGGTGAAACCCTGGAGCACCAGCAGCCAGAGGGAGGGCGGCAGCTCGGACTCCAAAGGACAGTTTTTGTCTCTGTGGTGGCAGGAGTACAACGGCTACACAAAGTCAACTCTACCTGAGAAACAAGAGGAAAAGAAACCCCAACAGGTACAAACATATCTGTGACATCATGAAAACTGTGGAGTAGTCCTCCTCCAAACACTCGAGCACATTTCACTGATCACTTCTTCCTCTTTAGCTGAAGGTTTGATAATCGCTTTCATGAGCTGCTGCACACTTTGGCTGGAGCGAGAACACACACACACACACACACACACACACACACACACACACACACACACACACACACACACACACACATACAGAGAGCGGCAGCCAAACGTGACACATGGCTACTCAGCCTGCTCCTGGGGCTCGTCCCAGCACCACTCCAACATCCTCTTCTGATTCTTCTTTTTCTCTTTTCAGATCCAAAAACCGAAGGCCAAAGCCAAAGTGGTCGTTAGAGGAACCTTGAAAAGCTCCAAGACGCTGCTGCCACACTTTCCAGCACCAGCTCAGAGACTTCAGAAACCTGAACCAGAGAGAGTAAGCTGTCATATTTATGTGTGGATAGCTCTTATTGCACCTCCATTCAGGACTTTACCAAACGTCATGTAGACTCTGAATCTATGAAGTCACCAAAATTGATTTACCTCAAGCCGCCAGCCTTCGTTTACAGCAGTGGTGTCCAAACTTTTTTTCTTGCGGGCTAAAATTGTCATGTTAGAATCGCTCGTGGACCACAGGTTTTGTTTTTTAGAATATAGTTTTAAAAATAGTAAAGCTTTGTAGATCAGAATCAAAAAGGCTCGCTAAAGAAACCCTTTAATAAAAGGAAATCAAATATTTTGATTTCTTCGTTCTACTTTATTTGTTTTCTTCTCAGAATCAATCCTGTAACGTGGTTCATGTTTTTGGAAAAGCTTTCTGCATTTAGCTCAGGTCATTAAATGGTTAAACAACAATCCGCTTGTTTACAAAAAAATGTGGAAAATAGTAAAAAAAAAACAACAACAACATACATGTTACTGAACATTTTCTATTTTAGGAATATTGTTCAGCCCTTGTTAACATGAAAAAGAAAAATAAGATAATGTGCCAATCTTAATCAAGGCCTCGGGCCAAATCCTTCTGAAGTCACGGGCCGCAAAAAACCCCCTCAAGGGCCGCAAATGGCCCTCGGGCCGCACTTTGGACACCCCTGGTTTACAGAATCGTGGTAAATCTCTATGAGGAAGGAGGACGCAGGATGAGACTTTTTGAAGAAAAGACGACACACAGCCACACACAGGAGAGGATCAGACCTAATCTATGTCCACAGGGGTCAAACCCACACAAAAGAAAACCTCCTCACAGCTGCTTCACATAATTGTACAAACAAGCATTCAATGGCTAATGCTAACAGTTAATACAACTTCAAAATAAAGTTTGATATCCTGTATTCTGAGAAGAGTGACATCAAACACCTCCTTTACACACACAGAGTTCAATCAGAGTCACACACATGATTTGAATCCAATGAGAAGTTGTTCGAAATATTAGCTAATGGATACATGAATTATCTGTAATGAATGACCTCCTGAGCGTATGCTGTTTGTGTTTATAATACATCACGGCGATGATTACGGCGTGTTATTGTTCGCCCGGCTCTTGTTAGTTCCGGCAGAAGAGACGTTTCATTTATGAGCGTTTCTGCCTCACTGCGTCTGAACCCTGCAGAAAGAAACGACACAACAGAGCTTATTAACACCAGAAGGCCTCCGAGCTCCTCTCTGCGCTCCTCTCTCATTTGTCTGATTCATTTCGTCGCGACGCGTTGTGTTTGTACCCGCTTGTAAGATTAGTGTGAACAGGCGCACGCCCTGCAGAGCGGCAGCAGACACTGACATACATCAGCCGTGTTATCTCGCTCTCTGCAGTGACAAAGACCCAGAAATACATCCAAACCTCGACGGCTTCCTCTCCGACATTATTGTTCCATGGGGTGCATTAGTGACATATTCACGTCTTCTGCAGGACTCTCGCACAGACGATGACAAACCGCTGGAGGAGGAGTCCAGAACACCTGAGCCGACCGAGCTGGAGGAGTCACCTGTTGAAGAGGAGGAGCTGGAGGGCAGCGATGAGGACTCGGACATCGAAACATTCACTGTACGTAAAGCTCTTTCTCACACATGTGGAGTCAAGATTTAAAGATGGGTGCACAAGTTGCAGACATTGCAAAAAAATGAAGATGGCAACGCTCAAATTGTTAATTCACAACGCCACAGTGGCTACGTCCATTTCTCATATTTCAAGGTCCAATTAGTGACCTGTGTAGTGAGTGAAATGATAAAGTGACTTCACTATATGATCAGACATTCTGTTTTGACTTTAGACTGCAGTAACCATTTCAAACACTAGGTGTCAGAGTTATATATTGCTCCTTTAAGGATGTATTTTTTTACTTTTGAATGCAGCATTAGTGAATTATTACTCCCAGAATAGTAACAGGATGATTTGGGATGCCAAACATGATAAAGGAAGTGACTGTTTACTGTAACTCCGTACAAACGAGAGGCGACAGAAGATATGAAGATAATAAGTTCAAAGTGTTGCTGATTAAAGAATAATGACAGAGGAACATTTCTTTACTTTAATGTGCTCACCTGAGACGAGCTCAAAGCCGAGCAGACATGTTTGATGTTGGTGCTGATGAATTCTCTTTGAACGCCGGTTTTGTTTTTTTCCTCTCCATCGCTGCAGACGGATGAAATCACAGAGGAGGAACAGCTGGAGCATCGTAAGCAGTGGGAGATCGGGCAGGCCGACTATCTGGGCAGGGACGCCTTCCAGAACATTCAGAGGATGCTGGACCGCTTCCTGGACTAACACATCGCACACGGGAGAAAATCTGGAACAGAAACTGTCCTTCAGTGTGTCAGCCTGAGCCCAGTGGTTATAGACTGATGATCTAGGCTGTGATTCCAGAGTACAGACGGACAGAAATGCTGATTTTAACTTCCTATGTGTAGATATCTAAACAAACTTCTACACCTAAGGTCTTAAATTCAATTCCATATTTTGTTGAAAAACTGAAGTAGAAACCTCTGACGAGAACTGTGACAAAGGAAGTGTAAAGTCCGTCTGCATGGAGATGTTTGTAATTCTGTTCCAGACTCATTATGACCCGTCTGGGTGTCATTAAAGGGTTAACATCACAACACGTGTTAGTTGTTGTATTCATTGTTGGGTTTCCTCTTTTCTGAGTCAGCAGCAGATAAAAAAAGATGCTTTCAGTCAATCGATCATCTCTGTTGACATAAATCCCCTTCACTCTTTAGTGCAGACAGATTGAGGATCATGTGGTAAAGTTTTGCAGCAGGGGGCGCTGTGGCTCTTCTGTCTCTCCATCAGTGAGTGAAGCAGAAACAGATTCATGGACGTGTGACTGCAGTCAACAGTTTCCTGTGTGATCCTGATCCAGCGGGCGGCAGCGACGGAGAGATGAAGATGGAGCCGAACACAACGCTCGGTGAAAAGACCGCTGATGAGGGGCGCTTTGAAAGGCGACCTGGCAGCCTCCTGCTCCACTCTGATTCGTTAAGATGAAAGGGTGAGAAGCAGATCTGGGATTAGTTCCCAGTTCCCCTCGAACGCCTCGTTTATTAAGATCTGAAAAGACAAAGAGAAATCAGATGTCAGACCCCTGCAGGCGAAGACAGGCTGGAAACAACAGAGTCCAGTTAATCCAGCAAACAGTGTTTACTTTAGGCTGGAACAGGGTGACCATATTTTCAATCCTCCTTTCGTTTGACTGTAAACCCCCAGGTATCGACCTGCGCTGGTCGGTAAAGGTTTCCTCCTGAGCAGCTCGTCGGTCGTCAGCTTCGTTTGCATCACTGAAGAAGATCGAACTGTTCTAATTCCTGTTTGAACAAAGGTGGTTTTACATCACACAAAGGTAGCTGAAGAGTGAAATGAGCTCTAGAGACCCAAACTGTTTTTGTACCAGGCTGTAAAGATGTTTATTACAGCTGTAAAATTGGACATTTTAACATGGGGCTTTAGGGGGACTGACTCACTGCAGGAGACAGACTCTAGTGGACACTGGAGGAACTGCAGTTTTTGCTGATATCCGTGTTTACCTGGCGTTTTTATCTTTTTCGTTTTTTTCCAAAACAACTGAAACACAAAGAAACGTTAGGAATAAACAATCATTCTTGTGTTTGTTTCAAAGAAGCCCTCAGATACACAACTCGCTGACATTCTTCACAAGTTTTTACGTAACCGGCGCTGACTCGACACTGACCCCCTCAAAGAATTTCACCGCCCTGACCCAGCCTGTTTGTTCAGAGAAAAGTGAGACTTACACCCAACTGTGCTTTCAAGAAAATAAACCTCTGAGGGGCACTGATGAAACCAAAACCTCACCTGAGAACCGCTCCATTTCTCCTCCTTTCACTCGTTTATTTAATCTCCAATTTCAGTGCGTTTAAAGTGGGAAATAGTCTCGATAATGTCCTCATCTTGAAGCACTCCCATGGATTGGAGAAAGGAGGAAGAGGAAGGAAGGTGTGGTCTTCACGTCCATGCCCGTCCGTCTGCCCCAGCTGTTATATAAGACGAGAAGGAAATGTGATAACTGCAGGGGCATCCTGATCACCTCCACATGTCTTTGGCTTTAAAACCGCCTCCTCTTCATCTTGTGCGGTAGCTGCCACATGCATGTTTTGATTCATGCTCAGAGGCGTTCAGCTATTTTGATCAGCGCTCTAACCGGCAGCTTCGGATCCTAATGACCCACAATTTGTGCGATCGGGATAATTGGGGATTTCTGAGTAATGGTAGTCAGCTGTGGAGGGGGTTCAGGCTTCGCTTTTTAAGGATCCTGATGTGGCCGAGCAGCTGGGTGGAGTTCGTCCACTGAGAAACTGGGCCACAATGGGACCAGATTCCCACAATTAGACAGATGCATCTTCAGGAACGTTCCCGGTCGATTTGTTACCTCCAGACTCGCCGGGATACAGTTTTCAGAGCGCTCGTAAAGGAGGATTTCACAGTCAGTGTTTCTGATACTAAGAGCCAGAACATCAATTTAGAGAATCCTATCAAACCCAGGCGGAATAAATTAAAGTGAATTCAGCAGCATGTTGGCCTGCAAATGTTCATGTCTGCCAGAAGACACTAATTCCCCGAGGTGGAGACGATCCAGAGGTTCAAAGTTTACTGCACAGCTGCTGCAAAAGAGAGAGAAGCTTTGTGGAAAGTCTTCTATCTGCTCGACATTTAACAGGAATCCAGGCCTTAAACATTAACATGCAAGGAAACATTCGAGCAGAAGAGAGTAAACAACTTTCAAAGATTCATGGTAATAAATCTTTCCATCATAATGTCGTCATGTCTCATATGAATTAGACCTTTACATAAATTTTATAGGATAAATATTCCTAAACAGTTTTGGTTTGACACTCAGCAGTTTGATAAAGAAGTTAATTGATGAAACTCTCTGCAGTCTGTGAGAGTCTGAAAACAAAATACCATCATGGCCGACAAATCTTTTATATCATCTCTTTTCAATTCAGCAGCTTAACGCTCTGAGACACATGATTACATGATTCACTGTGAACGCAGGCATGAATAAAGACAGCTGTCAAAAACAAGCCGATATATCACTGGTGATGAACACAGAACACGCAGCGAGCTCAGAGCGTTCAGTCTAACATCATAGACGCCACAGAAGAAGAACGCTCACTGCTGCTGTCAGAACCGAGGATATCTACACATCTGACGGAGCTTCTGCTGGATTTTCTTCAAACTCCAATTCATCTGACGCTCATGCGTGAAGGTCCCCAGGGTTCAGATGTATTGAATGTGTACATTGTAGTACGTCATACGATAATTCCTCTGTGAAGCTTTTTTTACTTTGAGAATGTGAATCAGCCTCCTAAGAGGGACAACACAAACTGGAACCAACTAGACCAGGATCTTACAGGGTTTAAGAGGCTACATTAAGAGGGTGGCTGGGAGGAGGCCTCTGAGAGGAAAGCTACCAAATACCACGACTTGGTCTATCAGAGCAGGGAGAAAGGGGGGCAGACCTGAATATTCCCAGTGGAAGTTGGCTGTTAGAAGGGAGGGGAAGACAGCGGCTCGCATGGTCTGGGGAGGCAGCACAGAGAGCCTTTTGCAGGCTTTGCTTCAGGTTGGAGGAGACAAGCTGAAAACCAGGAGAAGATGGGCAATGACCTACCATCACTGCAGACCCGCCAACTGCAGGATGCTGTGGATCAGGGTTGAAACATCGGATGAAAGTTGGTCATCAACTGAGGACATCTTCTCCTGGTCGAACGCTAATGTCACAACATGTGACAGAAGGTGCAGCATAAGAAGAGGAGGACATGCACGGCTGTCGGAAAAGGGCAAAATGTCCTGCAACATCTCAGAAGATTTCCATTTGGAGGCAAGCTGCCAACTCAGACAGAATCCTGCTGCAGACAAAATTAAATACCTCAAGTGCAAAGACGCTGTTACCCACAAAATGATGGTGTGTGAAAACAGAAAAACACAGAACAAAGGCAACAGAAAATGCTGCAAAGCATCAGCTCAACATTCTTCAGGCCTGCATCACTAATGTGTTTGCAGTGTGCTTCCTGTTAAAGCATGGCTCCGGCTTGTCAAATGCAATCATTTGGTTTGTTGTATCCATTAAAACTTTTGTTTTATGTTTTTATTTTGCTCACTTTTTTTATTTGCACTGTTTCCTAGAAGGAAATTCTTTAGTGCCGTTGCAGCTTGAGGCCCCCGAAGCATTTCGTCTGTAAAGTGTTACACAAAAAGAAGAGGATTCGTCTTGATTAGCATTTGTTTTTCAGTTTCCTCTGAACTTAATCTGAGGCCCCAGAAATCAGATAAGCACAGGAAAGAGCATGACTTTTTATCTAATGCTGATGACTGTCTTTTTCAGTAATGAGAGCAAACAGCTGGGCACAAGATGTGAGCTTTTTTCCAAGCAGGTTCTGGGTCACAAGCAGACACAGAGAGGTCAGAGCAGAGAGGCTGTAAGGAGGGAAAACGTGAATCACTGCAGCCTAATCAGCTCTCACAGTGGAAAATGTTGATTTCATGTGCAGGAGGAAAGCTTAAGAGCATCAAAAAGAGGGAGTAGAGTGCTTTAAAAAAAAAGGAGGAGGAGTCACAGAGCCTGAGAGTCCTCAAAGTGTGACTCTTTCAGGCTGAATCAGCTGAACTAATGTGGGATTTCCTCACCGCTCCAGATGTTTCTTCTTCTCTGGAAGACGAGACGGCCGCTGTTTCCCCACAGCGATGATTGCAAGTTTGCAGAGTGACGGTGACCTACTTCCTTCTCCCAAAACACAAAGTTCAGCTTTTTTTCCTCAAATTTTTTATCAATGCTCTGCTCTCTGAAGCCGGAGCAAAAACCCTTATAACTTTTACAGTCATTCAGTTACCAAAAGGTCACAAACTTCTGTATGTTTCCAAAGGTTTCCTAATTTTAAAAACACTTTTCTCATCTTTATTTATTCTTTGGGATTAACTCATCTTCAGGGATGAGTCCGATTCACGACAGAGTTGTTTTAGAGAAGCAACATGACAAACTTCAAAGTTTGATGTCCTGCCATATAACAGGACCAGAAGGTAGAAGGACCACTTCTCATTGAATATTTCTATACAACGGCAACTACTGGTAAGACTCAGTAAGAGACCATACGAATGACCGTATTCTTATGGTACAACACCGACATCAATCAGTCCCCGACATGCATCAAACCTGACATGCATCAAACCCGACATGCATCAATTTCCCACATTAATTCAAACTCAGACATGCATCAAACCCGACATGCATCAATTTCCGACATTAATTAAAACTCAGACATGCATCAAACCCGACATGCATCAATGCCAACCTTTATCAATCCCCAACAGCTATTAAAATTCCGACATGCAACAAACCCTGACATGCATCAAAACCCTGACATGCACAGTGGTGCCAGGGCCCGGTATGGTACGGTTAAAACCATTGAGTATTTCTATTCCCCCCCAGAACAAAATCGTTACAATGTTTGACTCTGAGCTTCGTAAAAAAAAAGGTGAAAATCTTTATTAAAATATGGTTAATTTCTTTTGCATCACAGTCTGTCAAAGACAAATAATTTACATGGCAAAGCATAAAACCTGTACCAGCATTTTTCAGAAGCAGATTAAAGGAATGTGAATACTTCTCCCAGAAACACACTGAGGAGCGTTTTTAAACCTGGGCTGCGATTTTACAGGTTTAAAGGAACAAACGGCTGATAGTTACAAGAAGTTTGGAGTCGTCAAATTAGTGTTGTAGTACTCAAGATCGGTCGAGAGACCACTTTTTGAAGGTCTCGGTCCCGGAATCAAAAGCATTTTTACTTGGTCTTGTCTCGGTCTCAGACTGGGTAGACTCTGGATAACCACTGACACTATTTTTCCCCGTCATTGCTGTGATTAGAAGGAAAACTCCCCTTTCTAAAATAATGAATAACTTCAATTAATTTGTAGTTTGATCCCCCCCCTACTCTTGGTCTCGGTCCTGACGTGGTCTCGATACCTAAATGTCTTGGTCTCTGAGTACTCTGGTCTCGGGTATGTCTTGGTCTTGGTAATTTTTTTCAATGGAGTCCATTAGCTTTGTAAAAAAAACTTTCAGTGGATGTGAATCTACCACAGGATTTCTAAAAATAGGCCCAGATTTAAAAACAAAAAGTGTCATAAAGATGGACAGTTTATGAAAGATCACAACAGAAGTCTTTGGGTAAAATAATCTTTGCAACATATTTCTGTTGTTAAATCAACAGTATTTCCAAGTTAGAAAATAAAGATGCATTTCTTTATAGCTTGACATAATCTGTCATTGTCAGGAGAGACTGGAGGATCAGTACGGGATCAGTGGAAAGCATCAGTAACATCTGGAGGGGAGTTTTTAGGGTCAGGAATCTGAGAGTGGTTTTGTAGACTGTCACTGAACGTCTCACTGAGATTTCAGATTGTGAGGGCGGTTTGATGTCGTGTTGGCTCCTCCAGGGAGTTTATGTTTTGGGTCATGTTTGTCTGTAAGCAGAATTTCTCATTTGATTCTAGAAAACCATTAAATGTACCTACCTTGGTCTTGATTATTGTTAAAGGGTCTCTTCAGAGCTCTATCTTATTTACAAAACTAAAACTAAGACCTTATATCCCACTGTCCTGTTTCTAAGAGCTTTGGTTTGAATTTATGCATTAAAGAATTGTTTTGAAAATGCCAAAATGAGGGAAGATAGGGCCTAGTTTTGATGGCGGAAAATTTCATAAAAATGCGGGAACACCGGGCTGAGGGAACATAGATTTTCAACCACTAAGCCGGACACACTAAAACCACCACTGCTGGTTCATAACAACTTGTTTCAACATGGTGACAGCAGTTTGTACATTGTTTTGATCAGTTAAAACATGACTTGCTTTAAGCTATAGGCAGTTGCTTGGGCATTACAGTATGGAAACAGACCATGAGGGTTAGTGGAAGTCTTCAGAACACATTGAGAATTGTGGATTTAGTGTCTGTGCCGATGGCGTTCCTGGCTGTGCATCGGTACACACCAGCGTCTCTATGTGTCGGGTTCTGGATGATGAGGGAACCTTGCGGATGGAGATATTTATTCCCAAACAGTCTAGGTTGCGAACTCACAGCCAGGCGAGTTTTATCAGGCGTTTCCCATGCCACGTCTGCTCGAGGGATCCCGGTCGCCACACAGTTCAACTGAACCGCAACTCCACGTTTGGCGTACGTCATAGAGGGAGGGCCGTTGGTGATTCGCGGTGGGTATGCAATCACGATAACAGACAGAGAAAGCATAGAGCTGCCATACTCGTTTGCAGCGCGGCAGATATAAGACCCCCGATCATAGACGGAAACTTGTTGGATGGCAAGCGTCCCATTGGGCAGCACAGCATAGCGTCCAGCTCTCTGCGGCCGGTTGAGGACCACCCCGCTGGGAAGTGTCCATGTCAGTCTAAGGGGCTCGCCGCTGGTCAGACAATGAAGCAGAAGTGTTTGTCCATTAACCACGCTGACAGGAGAGTTGTATCTGTTGAGGATCTCTGGCTTCCTCCCTGGGGACAACGTGATGATCTGCTCTGCAAGCCCTCGAGAGGTATGCCCCAGACAACGGTACATCCCAGCTTCAGCAACAGAGGGGTTACTGATGATCAAAGAGCCGCTGGGGTGGTGGAAAAACTTTGAGAACCGGGCACCACTTTGCAGAGGCGTGCCGTTTGGCAACATCCAAGTAACACGAGGTGGTGCTAAACCCTCGAAGGAGCAATTCAAAGTCATGGCGTTCCCAACTGTCAATGACAAGCTATCTGTTTTTGAACCTCTAATTTGAGGTCTGTCGACAAGCTCCTTCACGTCCAAGTTAACCACCAGCCGAACCTCCCCTCCTTCATTACGAGCAATGCAAGCCAGCTTCCCTGAATCTGTCCTCTTGGGCGAATGGATTTCCAAAGTACCATTTTGATGCACCGTCATTCTGTTGCTCTTGTACGGAGCAGGAAGGATCACATTTCCTGGTAGAACCCACATGATGCGAGGAGTCGGTTTTCCCTCCGCCACACAATCAATCAACTTCCTCTGATCTGGGAGAGCAGCGACCTTGACGCTGTTGGATTCGCCTCTAAACCCATTGATTACCGGAGACTGGACCAGAACCTCCAGCTTGGTGACTTTGTGGTCTTGTCCTGCGTTGTTCCTGGCCATGCAGGTGTAGTTACCTCCATCAAAACGCTGGACCTTCTGAACCACCAGTGTTCCATCATCCAGGATCTGGTATTTGTCAACAGCAGGGGAGATAAATTTATTCATTGGGGATATCCAGGTGATGCCTGGCAGTGGATCCCCTTTGGCGTTACATCTCAGAGTAACTGTTTCACCGTAGAACACCTTGATGGTCTTTTGGTTTTTATCCTGGATTTGTGGCTTGGAAGAGACAACCTTTACCTTCACTCTGACCTTCATCTCATCTTTGCCCAGTTGGTTCTCAGCGTAGCAGGTGTAGTCGCCTTCCTCAGGTACGCCGACATCATTGAAGTACAGCGTCCCGTTGTCAAACACCACATACCTGGAGTTCAAAAAGGGAGAGGAGTCAGATTTACTGTTACACACGTACGACTGCAGATAACATTTAAAGAACAATTCATGCTTCAGTGAAACTATTGGCTGCAAATATTCTAAATGAAGTACGTCCACAGAAAGTTGTTGTCGACAGGCTCGGATTATTCTGTGTGTGTGACATCACATAAATGATCCCTACACAGAGATAGACCCCTATGTTCAAGAGAAAGCTGATTTTCTTTAAACACAAACAGATGTTACTCTCTTCAAAGTGGCCAGAGTCCATTGACAAGAACAGTAAAATTAGCATGCAGTACGTGGGCATTTCTGGCCTTGAGTTGGGTTAATTGGTTAATAAGTTTGTTAGCTTGTATCCAACACAACATAATGGTTTTAAAAACAATCTGAGTCTGTCAGTGGTAACAGCATGAAATGTGAACAGGTGCACCCAATGCCTGTAGGCAGCTGGGGGCTCCAATCGACTGGATCATTTCCAAAATACAAGTATGCACCCATTGGTAATTCAGACCCCTAAAAATGCCAGAATTAAAAATTTTAAACATGCAATTATACAAATTCATGCCACTGCTAATAAAAGAGGTTTTTGCTTTCCACTACAGAGGGTCTGTAATTATCTGTATCAGTGTATTTTTTTCAGATGAACATAAAGCCAGCAGTGTGTGATGCCCCCTCAGTCTTCTCTCTGTCTCCGTACAGCTTGTATGTGTCAGAATGAAACATGTTTGGTTGCCCAACCTTAATAGACCGACATGTCGAATTTACTGTGTGCACTGTATGTCATCGCAGGAAGCAATAAATACTGCTGACATGTGAAGGAGTTTTTGTGTTGCAGCAACAAATGCCAAAATTGGTTCTTGAAGTAATTTTCTTTGGAAGTGAGGAGTCATTAATCTTCCAGTGGTGCGCTGCCACTGAAGCACAAAGTCAGAGAACAGCTTCTGTTGAGTGATTAGGACATTTTTAATGAATCCTTATATACCACTGTTAATAAATGTCTGGTATGTAAAGCTCAGAATCTTTTGTGGAGAACAGTGACTTGCTCTCCAGAACAGAACAAAGAATCACATGTTTGTACATTTCTCTCATATAATGTCCATAAAACTACAACTTTTATATAAAGTGGGAAGAGGGGGCAGACAGTGATGTATTACATTGATCCAATATTCAACCATAAATTGCAAAAGCTGCAAAAGTCCTTTTCATGACAGTCACTGTTTACACTCTTGGTTATTCATAAATGTGGGCATGCCAGCTTTAGATGGTTTTGTTCAACATGATTTGAGGTTCGACAGGTTCACAGGACCACCATAACAAAGAGACGTTCATTGTGTCATACCTTCGACTGCGCCCTCCGCTAACACCGTCCCGATGTTTGACTGGGTTGACCATGGTGCCGTCAGGCAGTGCCCAGCTGATCTCTGGGTTAGGTAGACCCGAGGCCACGCAGTCCACCTTCAGGTCTCCACCGTACACCACCTCCTGACTGGACTGCTGCTGCTTCTGCTTGATCTTAGCCGCCCTGGTCAGCACGTTGACTTTCAACTGGACGTAGTCATCGCCCATCTTATTACGAGCCACGCACAGGTAGTCCCCGCTGTCGGTGTCCATCGCAGAGCGGACGGTTATCGTGCCGTTGGGAAAGACCTTGATCCTGGGGTCGAAACTGCAAGGATAATAGAAACAAAAGTATTAATGTAACAGCAGGTCTTTGTACCTTTTTAACGACATGAGGCCAAGGAAAGACATTGAGACAGACAGCAAACATATTGTGCCCTGTCATAGCACTGTTATGTGAGAACCAGGGATGAGAGAGAGCATTGATTTTCTTACCTAAACTGAGCATCCACCAGCTTCTTTGAGGGCGTCCTCCACATGATCCGAGGCGCTGGCTCGCCCCTCGCCACACAGTCGAGCAGCAGCGTCCCTCCATAACTCACATCTGTTCTCAGGGGGGATGATGAGGTGATGGTAGCCTTGGCAGCGTTGACATTCCTCCTAACCTTCAGGTTCACTGTTCTCTTTCTGGAAGCCACCACGTTGCTGGCCGAGCACTCGTATCTCCCAGCATTCCCTGGGCCCAGTCCCCGTATACTGAGGGTCCCGTTGGGGAAGACAATGAGGTTGCGTCCAGTAATAGATTGAGAAGCAATGAGCTGTAGGCCATCAGGTGTGGCCCAGCGGATGACTGGCTGTGGGGAACCCGTGGCGGTGCAGTGGATGAAGGCGGTGGCGCCCTCTTGGAGCGTAGTGTTCTCTTCTTGGGTCTGCTGAATCACAGGAGGCAACGCTGAGACGTAAAGACGGACTGAGACTGTGTCAGCACCTGCTGCGCTGCTGCCAATGCACTTATAAATCCCTCTGTCTGTGAAAATGGCCTGACTGATCTGGAGGGTCCCATTACTCGATACGGCCACACGCTGCTGAGGCGTAAAGGCAACAGGGGCAGCAGGCATGCGAACTTGGTTAGGGAGCACCCATGTAACTCGAGGCGTAGGGTGACCCTCCACTTTACACTCCAAATCAACTCTGCCACCCGGATGCACGGTGACGTCTCGGTGACGAGGCTGGAGGACCACAGGATGCTGAGACAGGACCACAAGGTTGACCACCATGTTGTCTGTGCCAAACTGGTTCTGGACGGTGCACAGGTACTGACCCCCGTCCATGGGCTGGATGTCACTGATGATTAACGTACCGTTTTGAAGGACCTCAAATCTCTGGACCCTGGTGTTCTTAGCAATGCTTGCCCCTGCATGGATGGAAAGAGTTACAGTGTTTCTTAAACAGAGCATCAAACTAATTCATCTCCTTGTTTATATTTCCCCTGGGGTCAAGTATGCTTCTGACTGCCTCAAGGTCAAAGTTCAAGCTCAAGGGCGACCAAGCCTTTTCTCATCAGAAGTACTAAAGCTCTGATTGTTCTGCCTCCACATGTCTGTCCCTCACACTGCCTGTTTTTAAATCAAACCTTAAAATGCTCTTTTATTTCTTTGCTTTTGGCTCATACATCTGTCCTCACACTTTTACTTCTCTACTGCATGTCCTGTGGTTCTTACTTTGATCTTATTATTCTTTCTATGTTTGATCGCTCTTTGGGGGAGATTTTGTTGTTTGTAAAATTGCTTTATTTATACATTTGGATTGCATTTGTTTGTTTAAATGTCTTTCAAACTCTCCTGAAAACCAATGCATTGTTACTTAGGAGTTTTAGACTTCACCCCCAGCTGAGTTATAAAGAGGACTCTGGTGCCCCTCTAAAGCAAAATGCAGAAACCACAGATGGACAAAACCCAAGAAAATGAGGCCTAGCATTTATGCCCACATTAGTAACAGTTACAATACTTTTAATAAGTTTGATATCACTTATTGGACCAGAAAGAATTGGTTTTCTTTGAGAATAAACTATTAGACTGATAAAATACTTAATTTAATACTAATACTAAAATCCACCGAATGCTGAGTTATGAGATTGAGTCATACATACCACTGGCAACTTTAGTCCAGGACAGGAAGGGCATTGGCTCGCCCTCAGCCTCACAGGGAAGCCGAGCATCTGTTTCTGCTTTCACAGTGAAAGTCTGGAAATTACTCTTCGTTATCCTTGGCTTCCCACCTGGAGCAGATCCCGGTCCCGGTACCTGGTAGTTCCTGGACACGTCCTGAGTGCTTGTTAGCAGTCTCTGTGTGAATGTATCAGCTTGGACTGCAGGCGTTGATGGGGCTGGGGCGGTTGTCTGCTTGATTGTTGGCTCTCTGGTTGATTTCAGCGATGGGGAAGTTGGTTTTGCACTGTGAGATAGATCCAGCGTGTGGTCAGGTGGATGGGTTTCAGGATGGACCGCAGATGTCCCCTGAGGTTCTGGTGTGGTGCTGGATTGGGTTTGATGGTCTTGATTGTGGTTATATTCAATGTTGTTGATTCTTAGACCCTCCAGAGTGGTGGCTCTTGGGGAAGATGTTTCAGGTGTCACATCAGGGCGTGACGTTGTAGCAGAGAGAAGTGCTCCTGTATTCACATTAGCTTCCTGTGACTCACTGCTTGTGCCTTTATCCTGTGGAGAAGTATGATAGGCACTTTCAGCTCCCTTTGTGGTCACCTGTTCTGTGTCCACATCATCGACCAACAGGATGCTTGGTGTTGTTAGAATGCCACTTGAAGCAGGCACAGGGGTTGTCTTGATTTCACGCTCAATCGAGGAGGCAGCTGAGGCCGATTGGAGCAGATTTACAGTGTCTTTATCTGTGAAATCATGGCCTGATTGATTAGCCTCGACATCTGTTTTCACTTGGGTTACAGTGTGGAAACCCCTGGAGGAATAGTCAGAGGTTGTTGCCGGTCCAACGTCTCCCATTACGCCTCCCTTTAGCCTCCCCTCTGAGGGTTCAACAGGTGGAAGAGGGCTGCTCATAAATGTCTGCTGAGTGGTCCATGTGAGCCTCTCAACGATCTCTGCACTCTCTGAAATTCCCAAGGCTGTTTGAGAAATTGCCTTTCCGTGACCTATTCCTGGAGAGGCTGTTGGAAAAGATGGTGCCGCTGACGTGCTCTTGAACAGCGGTTTGGCTCCGTCTAGTTGGCTGTTTTTCATTTCTGGGGGAGAGGATGGTAGTGAAGAGAGTTTGTCGTCATGCCCTGGGACTGTGCTTTCTTTATGACTCATTCTGCCTGATGTCCTTGCTTGACTTGGATCAGGGGTATTGAAACTGACTTCTAATGGTTCTATTTTAATCTGTGTGAATGCAGTAGTCATGGCGGGTGACGGCGTGGTGGCATTAAAGTGGAGGGGTTTATTCAGCTTTTGCTTCCTTCCGTTCGGCCTCCGGCGACGCCCTCCATTCCTTCTCTTAGAGTTCGGGTGTCCTTTAGAGCCCCTCCTTCCTGAAGCTGGAGCTGAAAGCGTGGTTGACGGTGCTGTTGTGAGCATCGCATTATGTGCTGTGTCATTTGGTTGAGTATGAGGCGGAGATGTTGATGAATTTTCCCCGTGGCTTGGCCCCGATTCATTCTGGTTGAGCAAAGAGATGACTTCACTTCCACTCAAAGTGAGGTCTCTATCATTATGAGAGCTGGCAACAACATCCGGGCTCTCGTCCAGACCCTCGCTCTCCTTCAACACCTTGGACTGATCAGCTGTTGTGTCTCCGTCCACATCTGTATTTGTGCTCTGGTTCTCTTGTACAGAATTTGTATGGCTTCTGCTCGCCGTGTTTGTGTTCGCCTGCCAGAAAGTGACAGCATGCAGGGGAACAGATGTGGTCTGTGGGAGGAAAAACTCACTGTTTGAAGTTGTGTGTATGTCCAAGTTTGTATTAGGGGTTGTATGTTGTACATTAAATGCAGTGTGGGTTGTGTATGGCTCTGTTGAAGCTTGGATTGTGTGCTGACTGTTTGATGTCCTGCCATGTGTTGCTTGTGCAGCGTTGCTGTTAGATGTCACACGTGCGTCTTTGCCTCGTGTAATGTCTTCATGAGTTCCTCCTGGCGTTGTTAAGCCATCTTGGTCGCCTCTTTCCTGCTCGCCATCAGATGATCCCTCAAAAGCTTCCTGTGTCGGCGTTGTCTGCTCCGTCATTCTCCTCTCTGGGATTTGAGTTACAGCGTTCTGAGTGTTTCTATCTCTAATCTTTGCCAAAATGTCCGCCCATTTCTCCGGGTCTATTTTACTCTTTGACACATTGATTTTCCTCCTGCTCTCGATCACATTCTTCCTGTCGTCATCGCGTGATACCGCAGGTTTCCGCGGCGCTAATGGCCTTCTCCACACATTCCTCGAGGGATGGACCCCCCTCCTGCCACCTGGAACCACCCTCCAGGGATTCTCCTTCTCCCAGCATCCAATGGGCTTTTTGGTGCCTGAGTGACCTCTGCGTCCCCTGAAGCCTCCTCGATTTCCTCTGTGGGGACTTTAATCTGAGTGCTGACCCCTGAGGCCGACTGAGGTCTTGCTGGAAACTTCCTCAAAGGCCTTATAACTCCTTTTCGCCTGACCACAGTGACTTTTGTAGCCAGCGTGTCCACACCATGTTGATTTATGGCGATACATTTATAAAACCCATTGTCCAGGGTCTGACTTTGAGGGATATGAAGCGTGCCGTTGGAATAGACTGAAGCTCTAGAGGAGTTCACTCGGAAACTCACAATGTTGCTGCTTGGCAGAATCCAGTTAATTTCCGCATCAGGGGAACCAGACGCTGTGCACGGCAGAGAAATGGGGCTCCCTGCAAATCCCTCCACAGATGTGACTGAGGTGTCGTCTCCTGGGGGGGAGATAGAAGAGTCCTGCACTGTTAGGTGGAAAGGCAAGACCGCGAGATCTCCGTGAACCTTGGCGACGCAGTAGTAAATTCCTGCGTCTGTGTGGCTGACAGCTTTAATAAGCAGCTGCCCTTCATCGGACACAGACACCCTGTTGTCTGCACTGCTGTACGGAGCTTCCACCTTGGAGCCATCTGGAAGCATCCAGTGGATGACTGCTTGTCCAGAACTCTGAATGTCACAGTCCATTTGACTTGGCCTTCCCAGGATAACACTCAGCACTTTACGAGTCGTGTTCGTCGACTCAATCATAACCCATGTCCTCCTCTGTCTCTGCACCAGCTCGGCCTCCACCGTCTCTGAGAAATCACTGCTCAGGATCAGTTTCACTATCTTGGCTGATGACTGAAGTCTGTTCAGCTGGAGGTCTGCAGAGTTCTGCATCAGCCACGCTGGCTGGGCCATCATGTTCACTTTAACACCTGTGTAGTACTGTGCATCCTTCTCAGAGTCCTGTCTGTACACATACGTAGGGTGAGGATCCTTTCTGAGCAGAACGCCTCTTTTTAAGTGTGCAGGCACACTGCTGTAGTACGCAATCAGCCTCCACAGCCGCTCATACCTTTCTCTATCTACAGAACATTCAATATCCACAGAGAAGCTCATGTTGGAGGCCAGATGGAGCTGGTCCACCTGCTCCCAGTTGATCTTAGTTAGCCTTCTCGGCTCACCAACGCTGCACTGCAGATCCACCTCATTCCCGTGTTCATCCGACAGACCCATTGAGATGTTTCCAAAAGGTTCCCTGAAGTCCCCCGTGGTTTTGACCTCAGTGTCCGCCTCATCAGGTGGAGAAGTCCTTTGAGGGGAGGTGATGACGGGGCTGCTGCAGACCACTTTCTCCACAGCCTGGAGCTCTTTCCTCCGGAGGGATCTGGGAGACGAGCACATCGGGCACAGCTGGCCACCGGGGAGCGCTCTGTCCTTTTTACATTTCAAGACACCTAGAGGAAAAACAACAACAACAACACTGTCAACAAGATCTAAAGACTAATCTCTGTATGATTTTTCACATTTTATGGCAGTTAATGAATGCATTTATACATGAATGTCTTTTTTTTCAAACTTTAAGTCTGCTGGTTTTTGAAAACATGCATGTTTTTTTTTAATAAGTACCCTGTGCATTTTTCTTCAGTACAACTCAGAGTACTTGGGAACACACATCTCCAAAATATTGATTATCTAAAGTCTCGAACCCCCAGACTCACCTGGTGAGGTCTTAAACCAATCTTTGAACCACCCCATGTTGCAGTCGCAGGTCCACGGGTTCCCATGGAGGTACAGGTTCTCTAGCTGAGGCATGGTGTCCAGCAGCGTGGAGGACAGAGCGGTCAGCCCATTGTCCGACAGGTGCAGGTGTCTCAGCGTGGAGACGTGGAAGTGTCCCATCAGAGAGAAGGTGGAGAAGGTGGCCGGGTGAAGCTGCTGAAGCCGGTTTCCTTCCAGCTGCAGCAGACGCAGCGAGGTGAGGCCCTGGAAGGAGTCCGGGTGGATGAACTCCAGCCGGTTGTGGTCCAGGTGTAACCTCGCCAACGACCACAGACCATGAAGGGTGTGTCTGTTGATCTCCTTCAGTTTGTTGTAGCTCATCTTCAACATCTGAACCAATGAGGAGACACAACGTCATCATCAGTAAACATGAAATAAAGAATTTAATAAAAGGCCTCTTTTATCTTATTTGGCACATTTGGTAGTGTCCTGTCAATCACAGGTAGCCCCACCCTAACTCCTCCCCCTCTTTCTGGTCTCTGTGACCAAAGTGGGACCATCATTTACTTATGAACATCATGTTGTGTTGAAGAACCAACAACCATCAAAGTCGCCTCCTGCTGGCCAGTGCAGAGAATGCAGGTTTAAGGCTCTTCGCTTATGAAACCAAGAGGCTACTTCTAATCCTCACTCACCTTCTCCTGCACATGATCAGTCCAAACATTCATTCAGAGGTAGAGTTAATGTGAGGTGTACCTGCAGTGATGTGAGGTCCCTGAACGCACCGTCAGGCACACTGTGGATGTCATTCCCATGAACCATCAGCAGCTCCAGCTTCTTCAGACCAGACAGAGATGTGTCTGTGATTTTATTGATGCTGTTGAATCTGAAACAATAATTGAACAACATTTAGTCCAAATATGATCAACTTTTATAAACAAATGCAATTAAACCCCGAGTTTATGTTGCGTAAAAAATGCTGTGAAAAGCGAAATGAATGACTTTTTGATGATGCCAGATTGAAGCACTGACCCCAGGTTGATGCGCTCCACGTGTTTGGAAACAGCGGCCGGGATGGTGAGGAGGGAGCGGAAGGTGCAGTGCAGCTCGGTAGGCTGAGGGCACGAGCAAGACCGGGGGCAGGGGCCAGAGGCGACCGGGGGCAGGATCACCAGGAGCAGCAGAGGGAGGAGGACGCACAGCGCTGGGGTCTTCATCTTTATCCACGGGGAGGGGCGCTCACTGGAGATGTCCTTTCAATAACTTACCAAAGAACGTTTTTATTATTATTTCTATACATCACGAGCGTCTTTGACAGAGTAAAACAGACCATGGAGAGTGTAAAATCTAAAGGATTTAAACTTTAAATTGGAATAAAATGAATCCTTATTCGACATTTATAATCAATCAGAGGTTAAGTTGATTCTCCGGAGCGCTGGTCAGACTTTGGCTCACGTTTCGTGCGTAAACTCTCTGCCTCCGTCTCCGCATGAATGGATGAACTCCGCACGATTACGCAAGTTGCGCTACAGCCAAAGTGCTTCCTAAATATTTAAAAACCTCATCTCTAAACAGCGCAATGAAATATAAATGATCTTACCTCAAAGACGTGACATCATCTCTGCTGGGAGCTGCACAAAATCCATTTCAGCATGGGGGGGAAAAGCACGAAATCAAACAAAAGCTTAACGACGAAATAAAGTTACAGTAAGAAATCTGAAGCAACAGATATTTATTTAAACTCCTGAGAGGGGGAGGGGGAGAGAGGGTCTGACTCCTCTCTGTGTGGACCTGCAGCCAGAAATGAGTGAAGTAGAGTTTGTGCAGCGCAGCGCAGCGGAGGCGCCACAGGAGGAGCCAGGAGGAGTCTTCGGAGGAGATCGGGGGTGAGCAGAGTTTGGGGGTCCTGACTCAAAAAAAAAAAAAGCTGCTGAGTGTGAGAGAGCGCGGTGAGTGTTGCTGGGAATCCTGAATGAGTCAGAGTGGAACCATGAGGAGTCAGATTAACCGCTGAAGTTTACAGTTTCTAAACAGCTGGATGGAGACGGAGGAGGAAACATGAGGATAAACAAACTGTGGCTCAGAGCTGAAGATTAAACTCAAGTGTCTCTCAACACTAAGTTTGAAATCAACACGATACTTTTGCCCTTATGAAAGGATAAGTACTCAATGAAGACCCCCGTTCCAGTCATACCTATATCCTACTGATATGTTACATAACCTACCCTGTTGTCTTTAGTTGCCACAGCAACCAAAACAGCATCCTACCTTCATCAGACCCAGGCTGTGTTGATGCGAGCTCCAGGTAGTGTCAACACTGAAGCACCTACAGAATGTGCAAGTTTGCAATGACAGTAGCAAACCTCCCTAAGGGGGCCCCTCTGACTGCAATGTGTTACTCAAGTTTGTCGATGAAAGTGACACTAAAAAGATGTTTTGACTTAAAGTTATTTAATTCTTCACGGTTTTATGATTTTCAGGTGAACTTTGGAAGTGTACGTTTCACATTTGTTGTTGTTGTCAGAATATTTACGGTGATGGTCGCTGGTTGGAGGTTGCCCCCCCCCCTCAGGCCCAAACAGGCTCTAGACTCGCCCCTGATTACAGACAAGCCTGACACACTTTGAAAGGTCCTTCAAGATGACAAAGAAATCCCTAACAGGACGACGCCCGAGCCTAAAAGGTGTTAAACTGCTGATGTGTTACTCCTCTCCGTCGCTGCAGGTAAACTCTGCAGCCCTTTCATTAACACTGACTCATATCTGCACAGCATGCTCTCAGACACACTGACGATGGAAAAACAGAAGCATGCACAGACACACACAGAGGATACAAACGGGGGCACACGTTCAAAAACAGAAGCATGCACAGACACACAGAGGATACAAACAGAAGGGAGCCGCCGCAGGGAGACTTTCAGGAGGTGTTGTCATTTCATCAAACTGGAGCAGATCAGATTTTATGGGACTTAATTTCCTTCCATGAGATCAGGAGGTGAATATTTGGACTCGCTGATGTTAAATTCCTGCTCGTCCTTCTTCAAACACTTCATGTGCTGTTAGCTTTGGCGCCTCAGCTCCTCCCCCTCCTCCTCTTCTTCTTCTCTGGATATCTCTATTCAGCCGTCCTCAGAGTCCTGGCTCTGTGTCCTGCTGAGGTTGGAGGTTAAACGTGAAGGGTGGAGTGTGGTTAGAGCCTCCATCCATCAGCGTGTCACTGCAGGCCGATAACACACCTGCACCAAAACCCACATCAGACGAAGGTCAAGAGACCCCGAGGAAGGACTCGATGCATCATCAGAGGTTTGATTTGAAGAAGAAATATTTCAAAGCGCTCCTGAAAGAACACGGAGATGTCACAGTTTGCACAGAATAACACAATCTTTCTCCTCGAAAGGTGCAATCCAGTCCTACATCATCCTGAGGTCAGCTTCTCTGCAGGGTTTGATGCATCTTGAACGACACCTGAATGACCTGGGGTTAAAGAGAGGGACACTTTCTAAACACTCTCTGTCTTATAGGGTTCATGAAGTGAGTAGGATGCAACGTCAGAACGGGTCTATTGATGACGTCATGTGTGCCACAATAAAAACCATGACAGCGTGGAGTGAAGCTCTCAGAGGCCGGGGCGCCTGACTCCAGAGATAACTGCAGAAAGAATACGGCTGCATGCTTCACTTTTACAGCTTCTGTTTAAAGTCGTTCTAAGATTCGTTTTTAATCGTGATTATTTCTGCTGACTTTCTCCGTCTTTCATCTCTCAAACAAGGTTTTTTTGTTTTCAGTGAGGTTTTGGTCTGCGATGAGAGGGTCGCGCGCCGCAGGAATCCGCTGCGATGGCTCAAAGCGCAAACAGCCTGAGAGCAGATCCATAAAAACCCGGAGAGAGAGAGAGAGAAACGCCACAGACGGAAAATCCTGTCAACCCAGATTTTACATCAGAGGAGGAAGTGTGGTCGCTTTAATCAGAGGGAACCAACCAGAACACAGAGGGCTTATGTCTCCAATGGATCCTTTCATTTACAACTTAACCATCATCGCCTACAATAGCTGCCCATGCATTGTCTTTATTGAATGTAAAGCCAAGTTACTCTCACATCAGAACCAACACTCTCTAATGAGTTCAGAAATAAATCTGCTGATCCTGGAGTTTGAAACTCAGCCGTCGTTAAAGGAGAACAGGAGGAGGAGTTTGGTTTGTTCGGCCTGCAGCAGTGAAACCGGTCGTCATGGCTGCATCATCATCAGGTCAAAGAGCAGGTAGAGTGACACACCTGAAAATAAACCCATGTTAACAGGCTGTGTGTATAAATAAATGTGACAGTGAGAGCCAGACGGATTGAATGAAAGCGGTTATAAAAGAACCTGTGAGACTTTTCCACACCCTGTAAATCTCCCTCGGTCACACATGTGGCTCTCATATGTTTCTCAGGGCGACTCTCTGATCTAATGACGACCTGCTTGGACGGCCGCCCGCCCAGCTCTAGGGCGCCTGGTTTGGTATCGGACATTACGTAAACACCAGGGGAAGCCTGATGCCTGGAAAGAGCGAGAGGTGAAATCCTCCACATCTGCAGAGAGCCGGCTGACGAGGCAGCAGACGGTGAAGGGATCAAGTCTTCGTCCCCCCCTCCCCTCAGGATTGTTTTCAGAGCCGAGGAGGAGCTCCATCCCTCCAGATTTATTCTCACACTCGACAGGAAAAGGCCCAAAAATAAAAACCTCATCTCACTATACAATCTGAGGACAGGAGAGGGAAACACGAGTCATCACAGGATGAATAATCCTCCTCGACCTCGTCACCTCTCCACATATTTCTGAACGTTAACATGTGTCAGGCCTTTACAACACATCCTCCACTGATCCCCCCCTCGCTCCCTGTTCTCCTCGCCGGGACGGTCGTGACCTCGTGTAAAAGCCCGACCTGAAGCAGAAGACAGCGGGAGGAGAGGTTGATGGATGTCACTCAAACTACTGCTTGATGTTTTTCCAAAGAGTTCATTTCACAACTCAGTCTTTGCACAGGAACAAAGAGGTTTCTGTGAAAGCGTCTGTGTCCTGATGTTCAACGATGACGCTGCTAGCTCGCTCTCCTGCCGCGGCCTCAGAGAGCAGCTGTGACCCGGGTGTGTCACGCGGTCCTTCTCCGAGCTTCACTCTGAGGAGACTCATCTCTGTGCTGACCGGGACAAACGGCCCGGAGGAGATCCTCGTCCACAGCTGAGGAAAACAGAGCAGCTGGATGGAGCTTGGGCGAGGAAGACTGCCTGATCCTTCACCTGGATTCTCCCTGCAGGGGGGTCAGCAGTGTGTGTGTGTGTGCTCCCCTACGTGCCTGCTGGTCTGCGTATGTGTGTGTTTAATGTGTCTGAACCCCCTCACACACACCTGTAGTGATTGTGTGTTTAATGAGATGTAGTCGACACCTGGCAGCAGTCTGAGGGCGTCGCGCTGACCCTGCACCCCCCTTCTTGTCTGACACGCTTTATGACGGCGAGCAGAGAGAGAGACCCCTTCAACCTGAACACACACCGGGCTCTGAGCGCAGCTGCAGAACATCAGGCGGACTGTGTGTGTGTGTGTGTGTGAGTGTGCAGAATACAAATCAGAGAGGAACGAGGATCTGACCCAGAAACTCCAACTGAACAAACACAAACAAAAAAAACACGAGGAGGAAAATGTGCAGCGTCCTCGTCAGACTTGGATGATTCCAGCGCATCAAATGAAGCCATGATAATAAATTATTCAGATTTATTAAGAGGGTTTTCTTCTTCTCATTAATTTGAATAAATCTCAGATTTTCATCATAAAACTGTTCTGCAGGATTTGTCTCTAAAACTCATCTGGAGGACGCAGACGAACATCTTAATGATAAACAGACAGTCGCATGTATTTGCTCATTAAGTGCTCGTTATACTTCACATGTGTGGTTTTGAATGTGTTTAACCCTGAAATCAGCGACACCTCTAGAACCCAGATCCCAGCTTTCGTTTGTTGCAGGAGGTCGTCTCCTCACCTGCAGCTCAAGTTTAAAGAATCTGTCCTCGCAGACCAACGACTCCACGTCCTGAGAGCTGCTGATAAAGACAGAGGCCTCTGAGGGACAAACAACAAAGAGAACGCATGAAGCTCAAATCGACCCGACAGCAGACGATGAAATCATGTTTCTTTAAACTGAATCCAGCTGCTGGAAAAAAAAAGCTGAAAAATTTTATTTTCTAAAAACATCTGCTGAAAAACACGACGTATAGAAAACTGACCTCATCCTCGTTTGACCTGAGAACAGAACAAACTGATACACACAGACACACTCCCTCACAAAGACACAAAGACACAGACACACTCCCACACACAGACACACTCACTCACAAAGACACAAAGACACAGACACACTCCCACACACAGACACACTCACTCACAAAGACACACACACACAGACACACTCCCACACACAGACACACTCACTCACAAAGACACACACACAGACACACTCCCACACACAGACACACACACACACACACACAGACTCAGACACACACTCACTCACTCACACACACACACACACACACACACACACACACAGACTCACACATATGCACAGAGACTCAGACACACACACACACACTCACAGAGTCATTGTGAGTGTGTCACTGATCCTTTCTGTGATGACAGCAGTCTGTTTGTGTTTTCTCGCTCCCTCAGGGGGATGACATCACACTTTAACAGCTATGATCAGCTAAAGTGGAGCTGGCGCCCGAAGATGGAGGACTTACCCAAAGTTAGAGGCTCAAT